CATGATACAGCCTTGTTGCCTACATTTATCCAATGAAAAGCCTGAGTCTTGGGGACAGAGGGTTGAACTGAGCCCACCAGCTCCTCGTTTAAGTGAATTTTCTCCACCCTCCAGCTACCTACAGGCAACTCCTCTTTTAGGAACTGAGGTTTATATAAGTTATAGACTTGTCCTAAGGGGCTTGCAGGTTCCATTGGTTTCCTTGGAGGCTGGGTTCTAAGTCACCCTACATGGAAACCTCTGTTCCTCCCTCAATATTTTGCTAACTTTCTCAGGCTGCCCAGGAAGGAAAAAGCAGAGAAGAGAGACTAACTCCCATAGTGAATCAGATTGGATCATATGATGTTGGACCAAAGGCTGTTGCAAGACCTAAAGGGCAGCCAGGCTTGGTGGCACATGCCTGTAATCCCAGCAGCTTGGGAGGCTGAGGCAGGAGGATCATGAATTCAAAGCCAGCCTCAGCAAAAGCGAGGTACTAAGCAACTCAGTGAGACCCTGTCTCTAAATAAAATACAAAACAGGACTGGGGATGTAATTCAGTGGCTGAGTGCCCCTGAGTCTAATCTTTGGCACACACACAAAAAAAAAACCCTTAAAGGGCAAAGGGCAGGTAGAAGAGGGGTTACAGAATGTGCTTCAGTATTAGAGCAAGATCCTGGGCATGGATGTACATAATATTTTAGAAGTGGGTTTGTAAGACGAGCCAGAAGAATTTAATGTTACATTGATTTAACTGCTGCATCTAAGTTAGCTTTGATTTCTGAAGCAGCCAGGACAAAGACAAAAAGTTCACACTGTCTCCCTGAGGGACAGCCATGAGAATCCCTCTATGTACCAGTGACATTAGAAACTTCTGGCTTCAATTGAGACAGAGAGCCAAGTAAAAGTGAGTACAAGAGCTTTCAGCTGAACGGGTGTTGGATTTGGGGGTCTAAGGTGATTTGCCTCTGTCTTAGCAATGGACAGTCTGAATGCAGACTGTGAGGGTTGGCTAGAGCTCAAGAAGTGCCTTCCTCTCCTCCCTGGGTAGGTATCTTTTAGAGATGAAGTGCACACAGTGGGAATCATGGGAATGAGGGAAGCAGTGAATCCCTGTCACAACTGGAGGGACCCTGTGGTCCAGCATGGATGATACTGGAAGGAGCCACAAGAGACCTCTGTTTCCATCCCACTCCCCAAACTGTGGTGCAACGTTGAATAGACCTTTCTCTTCTCTGGGCCTCGGGTTCCCCATCTGCAAATCTTGGTTTGGCCTCTTGTCTTTAATACAAGGTGTTCTGGGGAACTTTGGGCAGGGCCTGTGGCAAGAAAGCTGCTATGTGGTACAGATGAAACGTACAAGGTCTCATGCGAATTGGAAAGCCATGTCACCTGAGAGTCTCCACAGGGTCACAGTAAGAAGCAATTTAATTTTTCTAAAAAGCTAAGATTAAAAAAAAAGAGTAATTTTACAGTGGAGAATCATGACAGACTCTGCCTTGGCCAGGTGATCAAGGTCACCATTGATAGTGACAAATCACATTGACAGATATGTCCTTGATGTGATGTGATGAGAATGGCATTTTACCTCTGTGTTCTTTCTTTCCCAAACCCAAAACCTAGCGTTATCATGAGAAAAAAAAAAAACCTCACACGAACCCCAGTGAGATGTTCTGCAAGAATACCCTTGAGTGCACCTCAAAACCATTAAGATCTTCAAAAACAAAGAAAAAACGGAGAAACCGGCAAGAGGAGCCCAAGGAGGTGTGACAACTAAATGCAATAAGGGATTTTGAGAGGTTGGGAACTGTTCTGTTACAGAAGCTCTGGGAACTCTGGCAGGGAGAGAGAGAACAAGTTTGTGACAAAGGTGACTAGAATGGCAGGGGATGGGAACAGGCTGGGTGGGCAGCAGGCAGGAGACTGGAAACACCACCGAGACAACCCAGCAGGCGGGCGGGGAGGAACAGTTGCTCTGGGCTGCTGACCGAGCTGCCCGGTCTGATCTGGGCAGTGTTTTCATGGAGCACTGAGAGGTGACTTGGGTAAATTGCCCCTCAGCAAGGTGGGCTGCGGGGGACAGTGTTCAGGACACTTGGATCTTTTCTGGCTGTCAGAGCCCTGAATGAGCTGAGTGCTCCTGGGCAAATCACCACTGTTCGGATTTTTAATTTCTAAAACTGTGTGGGACAGCCAGGGCTTGGGTGGGTGTGGCGGGCCATTTGTGTTACTGTCACTATTTAAAATATCACAACCATCCTTCAAGGATTTTATCACTATCCCCATTTATCACATTAGCAAAAGCAAGGTCTGAAGCCGTTTCCAAAATCACAAGATCAGTAAGTGGCAGGGCTGGTTTTGAACTTGGGTCTGTCCCTGAAGTCCATTTTTTTTTAAACATTTTTTTTTGTAGTTGTAGATGGACAGAATGCCTTTATTTTATTTTTATGTTCTGAGGATTGAACCCAGTGCCTCACCCATGCTATGCAAGCACTCTGCCACTGAGCTACAGCCCTGACCCCTGAAGTCCATTTTTAACTATTCCATGGGCTGCTCTCCAAGAGCAGATCCCCACATTCCATGGGCAATTTGTTCATTTCTTTAAGGGTACTTGTTGCCCAGTCAAGTCCCAAATCTGGTCTCAAAATACTGCTGAAAAGTCAGGGTCTCCCCGTCCTTCCCCCTGGGGAGTGGGCACTCGAGCTTTGGAGAGTGGCCATCCTGGTTTCTCTGCAGAAGCTGGATAGCCCTGCTCACCCAGGCCTCCCCAGTGTCCCCCGGGATTCCAGCCCGTCTGGCCCCTTTAGCTGTCTTAACTGAGATGACAGCCTTCGGGTGTTTTTTAAATTAAAATGGCTTGTTTCTGTTCATCTCTTTTCCAGATGTCACTACCTAGAGGGAATCTGTCTTTATTTATTGGCTCTTTCCTGTGCAGAAGCCAAGGGAGCCTCCCTCTGGCTAAGACCCCCCGGGAAGGAGGCCACATGTGGGGAGCGATTTGAACTACAGAAACCTGGGGTCCCCAGGGGGCTCAGGACGGGGGTCATGGTGGAAACTGTGGGAGGTGAGCTTGCCATTAGGATTTTCCTCTGGGCACGTGGCACATGGCACATGTGCTGTGGATGTGAGGCATATAGCAGGCTGGCGTGTTCTCTGCTGAGCGCCATAAATTTACCAGGGGCGGATGCAGCCCTGGGCCGGGGTCTTTCCCTTTGCCGTCTGCAGCAGTGGATAGCACTTGTCTGCCTATTGTACAGTGGACTGAGAGCTACCTGATCCTTTCTAGTTGGTTTCATGTTGACACCCAGAATCGTCCTTTACCCCCATGGCCTATACTTCCCTTTGCCCAAACCCAGCCCTGCTCTCACTTGGCTGGTTGCAATGGCCTCCCAACCCTGTCTTCCTGTCCCCCTTCTATCCTTTCCTGCCCATCCCCAGCTGCAGCCAGAAAATTCCATCAAAAACTCAAATTGGAGAAGACAGCTCCCACCCCTGCTTCCAGCCCTCTGGGCTTCCTCTTCCCTGAGATGAAGCCCAAATGCCCTGGTCAGCCCAGAGCCCTTCCCAGGCCCACCCCAAGCCCTCTGGTTGCCTCCCCTTGCTCACACTGAGAACAGCCTCGTGCTCCCACCACAACACCCACGTCTGGGCTCGCACAGGCCCTTCCACTTGGCTCCCTTCCCAGGTGACCCTGCTCAAGGTCAGCTCCTCTGCAAACCCTTCCCCATCCTGGCCTACAGAGCCCCAGACAATTCCCCAAAGAAGCATGCTGCTGTTGGTACATGGGCTGCCAAACTCCCTGAGTCACCCAGAATCCCATGAGGTCAGGGACCATGACCTGGCCGGCAGGAGGACTGCTGAGAGAATGAATGAAGCCGATGGCAGCTATGTGGGGGCTGCGATGTTTACCTTCTCAGTCTAGGACCCCCTATAGATTTCCCTGCTCCCAGGGTCCCTTGGACAATGTGCTCCTGTGGGTGGAGTCCCTGATGGCCCCTCTTGTCACTCAGAGGCACCCTATGCTAAAATGAAAGGTTTTGTGTCCCCAAAGTAGATAAAAAGATTTGGTTTGTGACAGACATTCCAGGGGGGTGATTTTGAAGATGCTGCATGTGTGTTCCTGTGGGGACTTTTCCCGGGGTCACATTCCACAGACTTCCCACCCCCATCTGCTATAAGAGGTTGGGGAGGAGGACCAAGAGAATCACTGAATCTGCATTTAACCAGCCCCATCTCAAACAGTGCTGGGCTGGGCTGGGCTAAGGCACACATGTGAGCTAGCCAGGCCTATCCTGAGGAGCACCCAGTGCAGGGGACACGTTGCCCCTGTGTGCATGCCCACTCATGGTGGCGAGCACCCACCATATGAGAGCCACACTGGGAGCTGCCAGGCTAAGTGAGGACCCACTCTGCAGCCTTACTGCAGATCCCAGCTGGTACCCACCCCCTGAGCACCCCAATCCCCCTCCTCTGAATTCCTGTAGAAGGGGCTGTCTTCCCTCACATGAAAGCTACCCCTTCGCTTTACAGATGAGGGCAGAGGTGGCATCATGTGGCTAAATCCCCATGAGAGGGAGCTGTGGAGCTGCACCTTGTACAGGTACTAGATTCTGGGGCAGTGCCCCACCCTGGCCCAGCTGCCTGTTCCCCTTGGCTGCACTGGGCACATACTTGGTACACAGTGTTCCCCAGCCACCCTTCACACACAGAATTAGTGCCCGCCTGAGGGACTGTTCCTCTGAGAATACTCTATGAATTGAGTTGGTAACTTGGCAGCTCAGGTTGGGGAGCTGAAGGGTCACCATGGTATAATGACAAGGACCCTGGCATGGGAGTCAGGGCTGAGTCCAGGCCTGGTTGGGCTGAACACCAGTGACCATGGGGATGTGTTTTCCTTCCTGGGCCTTAGGTTCCCCATGAGCCCAGCCATGGGCCCCTGAGTTCTGACATGGGCTTAGGCACAGCAGTGTCCCCAGCAAGGCCTAGACATAAAAACAGAACTGAGAGTGGCAGTGTATTACCCCTTGCTCCTGACAGATCTGCGTCAGTCTCTCCAGCTGCTCGTCTTGGGTGACCTTGGCCTTCTCGTACTGCTGGATGACCATCTCCATCTCCACCTTCACTGGCAGGACGTATGCTGGAAGAAAGAGACAGCCCGTGAAGAACTGGGTAGGGGCAGGGCTCAAGCTGGGGAGGAGTCGGCCCTCCATTTGGCCAGCATCAGCTCTGAGGCCCTGGCTCAGTTCCCTGAAGATGGGAGGGGGGACATCTAGGTACCCCAGAAAGTACAACCTGAACTTCTGGTGTCCAAGAGATCCGTGTTCCTCCTTTCCCATGGTGATAAAACCCTTCATTTTTGGAGGTATGCACAGCTGCTGGAATAATGAGTAATCACCAGCCTGTGCAGCTACCAGTGGCCAAGACACATTCTGGACAATGGGGTGTCACTGGAGGAGGCATGCTGTGGCATCCAGAAGCCTTCCTTAAAAGGCAGCTGGGGTTGGTGGGGTGCAGTGGTGTTGGAACACTCGTACATTGCTGTGGGTGCGACCACTTTGGAAAACAGTTTGGCAGTTCTCCAAAATATTAAGCAGAGAGTGGCCATAAGACCCAGCAATTCTATGCCTACATACCTAAGAGAAGTGGAAACATACAGCCATACAAACACTTGGACATGAGCCTTCCTGACAGCATCATTCATAATAGCCCTAAAGTGGCAACAATCCAAATGTTCATCAAGGGATGAAGGGATAGATACAATGTGTCCTGTCTCTGCAAGGAGACACTCTGGGAGGAATGATGTACTGTTAAATGTGACAACACAGATGAGCCTTGAAAACAGTATGGTAAGCAAAAGCCACCAGACACAAAAGACTACATATCATATATCTAAAATGCCCAGAGTAGGCAACTTCACAGAGATGGACAGATGCATGTCCAGGGCTGAGGGGGCATGGAGGCGACTGCTCAAGAGTATCAGGCTTCTTTGTGGAGAAAGGAAAATGCTCTAACCTTAGGTTTTGGTGTTAGTTGCAAACTATTAGTATACTAAAAATCATTCAGCTGCTTACTTTAAATGGGTAGATTTTATGGCATGAGAATTACATCTCAATTTAGTTGTTTAAAAAGAAAAGATAGCTCTTGTATTCTGGCTCAAGATGGCAGACAAGGACATATGTCCTGTGATGTCGTGACTGATATCCCAGAGCTGAAGGGTACCTGGACCCCAAAATTGTGAGTTATGGGTGTAGTGACTGAAGGAGAAATAGCAGTCCCTTCTCCACTATGTGGAGGACAACAAGAATGGACTATGATTGGTTCTGACTGGAGTCCAACAAGGAAGGGACCTTGAGGTTTGGAAATTACTGGTACATCCATGACTCTTCAAATAGAAGTGTGACATCGAGTATGACATTCCTATCACACATTCCACTACTGCTCTAGAAATTGCACTCCCTGCTGGATGGAAAGACAGTAAAGGTGTATAGGGGTGGATAAATACACCTCAACAATCACTTCAAAGCTTCACGGGCTAGGAAGGCATCCAAGTTTGGACTGCCACATCTCGTGGCTGGCAGTAGAAATCCCTGATCTGATTCAGAAAGGCATGATCTCACACAGGGCACTGCAGCCAGTGAAAGATCACAGTGCTGAGGGCCACAGATGGGCTACATTCCTGTTTGCCCATGTATCACTCTTTATATGCTTCTAACTTTTTTCCCCCCACACTCCTCCCCTCCCCTCTTCTTTTTCTGTGTGTGTGCCACTGGGAATTGAACCCAAGGATGCTCTACTCCTGAGCTATACCCCCAGCCCTTTTTATTTTTTATTTTGAGACAGAGTCAGGCTAAATTTCCTGGGCTGGCCTTGACCTTGCAATCCTCCTGCCTCCACCTCCTGAGTTGCTGGGATTTCAGGTAAGGGGGGAAATAGTACCGGGTTGCTATGCTAGGCTGCACAGGAAGGGGAACGGCCTGGGCCTTGGAAAACCAACCGGCAATTTAAATCACCTTCCCAGGTGGAGCAGGGTGAGGTCCTGGAAGTGGGTAATGTGGGTAATGAGGACATAATCTTTTTGGTTTCTGGAGACAACCCATCAACCAAAGCTGCTTTCTCAGATAGATAAACACATAGCAGTCGGCCTTCCTTTTATTTATCTTCTTTCTCCTTTCTCCTGCCTACTGGCTGCCGCAGTCTGGCTGGGCACAAATCACGAGCCACTGAAGCAGGAACAAACTTTATTTTTGAAACTGCAGGAAAACACTTCACACAGCTCCCGGGGAATCCTCCCGAAGGCCACGTGGCTCGTCCAGGAACCCCCCCCCCCCCCCCCCCCCCCGGAAATATCTCTCCCGGAAATCCCTCCTCCTGCACTTCCCCAACCAATGGGAACTCTCGGGGAATCCCCGGAAATCCCCACGAGAACTCCAAAATAGTGCGAGAACTCAAAAGTTGCAGCAGAGGCGGATAGTAATGCCTCGCCTGTCAATCAATACTGTTGGCAAAATGCCAGGGGCCATACAGACTCGGCCGTGGCTCTCAGCAACTGGCCATAATGAGGAAGTGATGTCTAGCATTGGAACAGTCATCTTAGACCATGAGGTGACTTTGAAAAGTAGGCTATGTGCAGCAGAGTGACAAAATAGGAGCCTGGGGTCTTGACTGCAGAGAATGAGTGCCATATCAATACCTGTCGGTAGGGATGGCTGCCATCTACCTGCAGACTTCCATGTGAGAGAAATAAGCTTCTGTTTTGTTTAGGTCATTGTTATTCTGGGCCCTTTACAGATGATCCTACTCATAACTCATACACACAGTAAGACCCAGAGGAGAAAGCTAGATTCTGAGCATGAGGCCCCATGATCTCTCAGCTAGAAGCAGCCCCTGCATCCCTCCCTTGGAAGTTCTCTGAGTTTAGCAGCCATGGGCTCCTTGGAAGTCTCAGGATCAACTTAACCTGACCTCTGCCTGACCTTTACACCCTTCTCACACCTCTCAGAACCCAGCCCTTCCTGATTCTTCGGAAACTTTGCTCAGATGTGTTTGGTCTTGCCACTGCATTCTAGAACTCTGCAGGTCCACACTCTGCAAGACCCCATTCCACCCACGGCATCCCCACCTCCAGATGTTCTCTGGATATTTGAGGCATCATGCAAAGAAGAAAATCAGGACTTTTCTGTTTGCTTCTAGACTTAAGAGTAGGGCACGTGTCCCTGAGACCTTTCTCCAGGTCCAGAAGCTGCCCTGAACTATCACCTCCCAGCTCCTGATGAAGCCAGTTTACTCCAGGGTGAGAGTAGCAAATTAACACCCATTGCATTCACCAGTGAGTCTCCATTGTGAGGCTCCCAGTGCCTGAGGTGTCAGGGAAAAGGGGGAACAGCTGGGAAGGGTGTTCACAGTGGGGCTGTCAAAATCCATTAGTATGAGGGTGTGCAGCTGTCCACAGCTTGCAGAAGGAGCCAGAAGGCGCCGTTCCTGCACTGAAGGGAGCGGATGTTCTCATGGATGGAGCCAAGAGCAGAGCCCTGAGCAGATGAGGTGAAGTGAACAGCCAGAAGAGCACAGGAGGGTGTCACAGATCCTGGGCTCCACTTGTAGCTCCGAGCCTGATTCACCGTGTGACCCCATTCCCTCTGGCCTCCATTTCCCCATCTGTCAAATGAGGGGAAGGGACCAGATGATCTCCAGAGCCTTCCCTGCCTTCCAAAGCTGGACCACGGCTCATTGGAGTTTGATGAAGATTCTGTATTGGAGATGAGATGACAGTGAGGAAACCAGGACCAATGTCCACTGTGTTCACAAGGTGGGATGGAGGGTGGGAACCAGGGAGAGGCTGCCCTCCTGGGGAGGGGAAACCCTGAAGGCCATCCCTGCTTGCCTTCAAGTGCTGGGCAAATGCTGTTGGCCAATCTTATAGCCACAGTTTCTATCATTAGCAGTCAAAATTCAGGGCTGGAAAACACCTTGACATATATCCCAGTGGTTCTAAACTGTGCCCCAACTGTTCCTTAGAGGTGCCTTGGGGACAAGGAGAGGGCATGGAGGTGGGCTCTGGGCTGTCTACCCTGATTCAACCAAAGCAGCTCCACTTTACACACCAGTGACTTTGGCACTGAAAAAGATAAAAGTTTGGGAATCACTGTGACAGGATTTCCATGTCACTCCAGGAGGGGACCTTGCTGGGAAAGTCAGACAACCTCTGTGGTTGGCTCTGTACCTAGTGTGGTTGACAGAAAGTGGACCTCCTTGACATGACCTCTGCAACCAAGGAGCACCCTCTGAAATCCAGAGACCTGGGTCTTCCCTCCTCCCTGAGATGATGTCAGCCCCCCTTCCTGTGTCTTTGTCCTCTGTGTCCCCATCCCAACACCCCACACCGTTCTTCGGGGTTGAGGTTTCTAATCCCCTCCCCACCAAGGCTTCTTTCCTCTGGGTTGTCACCAATTTTAGAATATTAGAGCTGCCCAGATTTGGGCACAGCTCTCTAGGGACGGGTGGCTAAGTGGGAAGGGCAGCCTCTGCCTTGACAGGAGCAAAGGCAGTGACAAAGCTGGAGCAGATCAGACTCTTTCTGGGAATGAAAACGCAGAGATAGGAAGATGCTGAAATGAGTGAAACACCGGCCCAAACCCAGCCTGAGCCAGCCGTTCCCATGGGGATGTTTTCTGCTTGTTGGCAGGTCAACAAGCTCGGGGCACCCACCTTGTCACTGAGGGACACAGACCCGGCAGGGGCAAGCCTCGACTTAATGACCTGGACAGACTCACCACTGACTCTGTGGGCCATGGGGTGTGGGGGCAGCAGCAGGTGTGCGTCAAAACACCTGGGTTATAAAAAGTTGCTCTTCCCAGCATAGTAGGCCCTGCTGGAAGCTCTTATGTGAGGGACTGGCCATGCAGGCACACAATACATGGTTGTGTCAGAATGAATGAGTGCCCTCTCAAGGGGTGTTTGGAAACTCAGGTGTGCACATGCAACACCTGAGCAGTGTGTGAGTGGATCCCAAATACACGATGCTGAATGGCAGGGTCAGGCTTGGCTCTCTCCCTGCTGAGATGTGCCCCCCCAACACTGATGGGGACACCCCTGCCCCCCAGGGCTCTCTCCTCTCTCAGTTGATTGATCTGGTTTCTGTCAGTCTCACTGGCCCCTCTCAGGCCACTCACCGTCAATGACCCTCTTCACACGCCAGATCCGGAGCATGATGATGAGGCTGATGGCATCCCAGGGGCTCCTGGGCCCATTGGCCACGGTAGACGCCACCATCGGGGCCAAGGACAGGATGATCACAGCCCCGTCAAACACCTACAAAAGGAAGCATATTTCAGTGCTTTGGGCCATGCCACGTGTCCAGGACCAGAGAGCAGCCTGGCAGGCAGTTGGTGCCGGTCATCTTCTCCAGGGGGCCTGAGCCTGTCAGAAGGTCAACGGTCTCCAGCTGCCTCTCCTGACCCTCCTCAGTCCTAAGGAACCTCCTCACTGAACTGCTCCCGGGCATTTGGTCCTCCAAGTGACTGTAGCCCATCTCCAGCTCTTGGTTCAGATGGCCTTGGTTGGTCTTTGTCCCTTCTCAGGATGGGGCCTGCATTCTGTGCTCTGGACCCTGGGCAGAAGCTGAACTGAATCCCTGGCAGGGTAGGGGCTGATGTAGGTGTGGGGGGTTCTTCTTTCTACATGGGTAGCTGGAGTCCAGGGCCTACATGTCGTCTCTAACAGGTACAGAGTTCCTAACCCCATGGAGAATGGGGGCAGGGCTAAGAAAGGAGGGGGCCCAGTTGGCACCATTGGGCCCTGACCCTCCCTTGCCTGCCCCAGCCTGGCCCTGGCTGGAGCTGTTCACAGGCTGGGCTCTTCAAGTCAGCTTCCTGCACTGGGCCTGAGAGGAGGAAGGAGAGGGCAGCAGACCCTGGACAACTTGCATTGGCCTGAGTGCACAAAACTGCCTGCGACAGCCAGGGTTACCTGCACCTCATCTCTACCCTGCCCCCACCCAGCCCCTTTTACCTGAAGCAGAGCAGAAACCTAGGTGAGGGGGACTTTTAGTTTCTCTGTGCAGCTCCTGACCACTGTGTCATTTCGGAATGGAGTTATTTGTTTTAAAACACATTTCAAAAAATTTTCAAGTTGATTCAAAAATAATTTTGTGGTTGTTATTGTGCTAGGGATGGAACCCACCCCCTCAAGCATGCTGAGAAGATGCTCTACCACCAAGCTACACCCCCAGCCCAAGAATAAAATTTAAATGCTTATAGAACTTCAAGGAGAATGTTTTAGAATGTTCTTTTGCTTGAAACCATTTCGGCTCACTCCTTCCCAGCCTCCACCTCCTCCTCACCCCATCCCACGTGCACAGCTGAGGAGACTCTTGTGCTCAAGGGCAGAGAGGAGTTGAGCCTTTTGATGGTTCCCACACTAGAATGAATGGGACAGTGACACTTTCCAGCAGCCAGGATGTCTGGGTTGGGGGTTGGGGAAGCCACTGATCTTTACCTCTATTTTGTTTTCGATGTAATCCCAGATCCCCAGGACCACGATCCGTAGAACAGTCTGAGGAGAGGAAGTGAGAAAAATGGTTATTGTTCTGCAATGCCTCCCTGCAGCAGAGAAGAGCCCAGAGCTCAGAATCCAGAGCACCGTTTCCGTGTTCAGTGATATGCCTTCCCCACTCCCATGCCCTCCCCATCCCCAATGCAAGTGGAGTGCCCACCTCCAGTTCTCATGGTGGCCCCTCTGCTCACAGGCTTGGCCCCTCCCACACATATTCGTGCCATTCCTGGCCACCATTCATGTCAGCCCTCACTCAAAACCCTTCAGAGCTCATAGTACATACAGAACACACTCTGAATCCCTCAGAATGAGTCTCAGGCCATGTCTCCCTCCCTCTTCAACGTCATCTCCCTCCCATTATAACACAAAACTCCTTACAAATCTTTGATCATGAAAACTCTTTTTCTTATTGCCTTGTTTTTGCATATCTTGTCCCTCTTAGGATGATTGCAGGTGAGGCTCGGCTGCCCAGCTAACAACTACATTTCCCAGCTGTCCTTGCATCAGGAGTGGACATGTGACTAGATTCTGACCAATAGCCGTTGAGCAGAAGCACTGTGCATAGCTTCTGGATTGTGCCCTTCAATAGACCAGGCTCTGCTTTTCTTCCTCTTTCCTTCTTCCCAAAGACTAGAATATGAGTGTGTGGGTGTGGTGGGAAGCCATCTTCAACCATGAGGGGCCAGATAATAAGATGGAAGACTTCTGGGTCTCCCAAAGCCCCCAGCCACCACCAGCCTTAATTTCCTACCCCGAAAATTGTCCTTCCACGAAAGATATGAACCTTGCCTTGTTGAAGCCCATGCTTTTGGTTTTCTTGTTAGAGCATCTTGGTCTGTGTCCTCTCCCCTCTTGTCCTTCTAGCCTCAAGTCACTTCTGTGAAGCTCTTCCCCATCCCCCTGGCTCCCTGGGTGCCTCTTTCCTGTGGCTTTGTACACCATGCTTCCATAGCTCTGTGTCATGTCTTGTCATCACACACCCCATCCCTTAGCGAAGGCTTGAGAGACACCATGTGACCTCTTCCTCCCGTTCCTCCTCCCTGGCACGGTGCAGCCCTGCGTGGTGTGCATTGTGAGTGAACCAGTGCACGCCTGAGTGGACACTTCCTAATGTCGCTGCCTTTGGGAGTGGTTTTTCCACCAACAGGGCACCTTCCCCCAGAGAAGATTCTTAAAAGCTATCTTAGTACATTTGCTACAGGCTCTCCCTTGAGTCATGATGACTTTAATTCACACTGGATGGTGTCCTCCTTCCATGTGCCTTGGCACCAGGCCAGCCATCTGAAGCTAGGGAAGCTGTGCGAGTCCATGGGTCACCAGCTTCCTATGCTGAAAAAAAGACTTGGCTGGTAAAATCCACTTTTCCCCTTAAGGGACTATCCTGGTTTCCATGAAGGGATGAGAAGGGGGACCCTGGTGGCAGCCAGTTATGTCACCTTCTTTGAATGTAGAGGGGAACATTGGCAGCCTGATAGCCGTTCCTCTATGCTTCCCAGTTTCTGGGTTTGTTCAGCCAGGCTTAGCTTCAAGACAGCTCCTAAAGGGCTGAAGAGATCTGGGTGGGGCCCAAGATATCTTGAGGTTACAGTTTGGGAATGGGATGGCTGTATGGCCTTGGGCAAATTGAATCCCCTCTCTGGGCCTCAGTTTCCTCTTCTGATGGAGAGGTGGTTAGATGATACAATTCTTTCAGTATTGATGAGAATAAAACCTGCCATGTATATATGCCAATAAGAGCCAGATCTCTGGGTCAGCCCTCCTTGCATGTGATTCTCAGTTTACAGAGAGGTTAAGGAAGCTGCCCAAAGTCACCCAGGCAGTTAGTAAAGAGGTCAGCATTTGGGTCCAGAGGCTTTCCACTCTGCATGGTGGACTCCAGCTGGGTAAGATCACCACATATTGTCTTGGTTTATTTTGTTGTAATCTAATCCCTCTAGTTGGCTGAACTTGAAACATGGTGCTTGTTTCCTCTGAAATGCTACATTGACCACATCCACCCCAGAATCCTAATTCTGGCGTTCCCAAAGCAAAAACTAGGAAAAACCAAAACAGGTCCATCCAGATATGATTGCTGATGTTGTTTCTCCTCTTCCTTCTTTTTTTAGAATTGGGTAAAACACACCACAGGGAGCTTATCCACTTTCTCCACTCTTAGTGCACTGTTCTGCCATATCCTGCTCACGTGGTTATGCAATCATCCCCACCACCCATCTCCAGAACTTCCTCATCATTCCAAACTGAAATTCTGTACCCATTCTCCCCTCCCCAGTCCCCAGCAGCCTCCACTCTACTTTCATCTCTAGGAGGCTTATGTTGGAAACAGCAGTAAAAGGCAGCTGTAGAGAGGGCTGGGGACACACCTCAGAAGTGTGGCCTGGAGTCAGCTGCTTCAGTCAGGCTCAGAGCCAGAGTGGGAGTCTAATTCTGCCACAGCCACCCACTGGCTTATCCCCTGTAGCATCCATCCTCTCCCCAAACACCGTTTCTGAGAAGTCCCCTCTCAGAGACAGGGACTTGCTCCACCCTCTCTACCCGCCTGAGAACACTGGCTGACTTAGCCATGGCCTGCTGCTCTTCTCAACATGCAGGTGAGGATCCCTGCATCAGCAACACCAGGAGCTTTTGTTTTAAAATCCGGGTTTTTCTCTTGGAGACCCCAGATATCAGAATCTCTGAGTTCAAGGCTTGGGATCTGCTTTTAAAACAAAGCCCCATGGGACACCCAAAGAACCACTGGCCTGTGTGAGGTGACACTGGTCCGAGTTGCAACAGGAGAGACCACATGCCCAGCTACAACTAGAAAGAGCATTAGATGTGGTCAAAAGCCTGGTCCTCTTTCTGGCTCTCACTGTCCTCACTACCACATGACATTGGCCAAACCCCCTCAGGCCATCTGGCCTGGGAGTAGAACTACTGCCCCCGGTGCTGCCTGCCTCACTGGGGCTGCTGCAGAGCTCTCGTGGGAAGCTTCCATGCAGGGCAGAGCAGGGATGGCTTTATCACCCACCCGACTTCAGTCCCCCAGTCTTATGTCCTGCCCACCCCTGAGAGTTGCAAGGGCCTTTAAGGGAGGACCTGAAGGAACTGGGCTCCTCAGCTCTAGCTACCCCTTTTCCCACCTGGGGCCAAAGGTTTTTGGCTTCCTTCATTCCAATCCTGCCTCAGGAGGCTGCTCAGATAAGCGAGACAGGTCAGAGCCCGGCAAAACTTCAGGAATGCACCAGTTTTTGAATTCTTATTATGAGCCAAAATTTTCTGTCATTGACAGATGCAGAAATGGAGGCTTTGGTGGCAGGTAAATCTTTTGTCTCCTGGGTACCTCTCCTCTTCCACCTTGCTCTTCCAGGAAGAGACTCCCTTCATCTCTTCCAAGGAAGGAAAAGGTGACTTTCTCAAGGGAAAGGGTTCAGTCTTTGGGCAGCAGGAGAGGAGGGTGGGAAGTTCTGGCCCTTGTGTCTGGTCCAGGTCCTGCCTAAGTCAAGTGGCAGTGAGGACCTCCTGCCCTCCACCTGTGGCCCTAACCCTTCCCCTCAGGGCAATCAGCCTCTTTCCCTGGGAGGGGCCTGAATAGGCTCCTATAGTTTGGGAAACTTGGGGGATGCAGGCAGAAGCACCTGAGAGTCTAGAAGTTGGTTTTGTTCAAATTAAAATAAGAAAGACTTGTCTTGGCAGAAGGAGATCCTTTGGCTCACTGCTTCATGAGCAGGATGGGGACTAGACACCTTTGTGCCCTGCAAAGCCACCCCAAAGTGGGGTCCCCAGCTGGGGAGAAGGAACCCCTGCAGGGCTAGCCCCTGAGCCTGTGACAGCATCCCTGGGGTCAGGGGACTGGTGGTGCATGAATCAGGGAGGTGGGGGCTGACTCCTGGTGCTTCCTCTAGAAGCAGTCTGCTCTTGGGAAGGTTAAACTAAAATTGCAAGAGGAAGACATGGATCCCAGGATCCAGTTACAAAACAACAGTAAGAAATGTGGGCAACCAGTCTTGAACTGGTAAGTACTTGAGTTTTGCCAGGGGACTAGTGCTGTTTGACAGAATTGCAGGGCAGCCCAAGAGCACCCCCTGGGGATAGGAGTGGATAAAACAGGGGCTCGCAGAAGGGACCAGCCTCACTCCCTCCAAACCCCTGAGAATTGAGGGCTGGTGACCCAGGACTGCCTCTTCCCAGGGTGCTGCTTTCTCTAGGATTGTGAAGGTGAACCCTCTGAACAGACACAGTGGCTGATCCCTCCCAGGGGCCAGATTACTATTTGTCTCTCCTTGTGCTGGGGTGGCAAATGACCAAATGTCTGTCAATTAAGGGACTGAGGTCGACTGAGGGCTCACAGTGCATGGAGCACTGCCCTTGACCTTGAGTAAGGAGGAGAAAGACTGAAATACACAGGGTGGGTGAGCTTTAATTCCACAATTTCCTTGCAGAATAGGGTCATTCTCAAGTCTCCTTCTGAATGTACCCACCACCCCCACTGACCCCAAGGCTCTCTCCCTTAAGATGCTGTCCTTCCTTTCTCGCTCTCTCTCTCTCCTCCCCAGGCAGAGTCTTGAACAAAGCCTCTCCACGTAACTGTGGTAACCTGACGTTAGCCCCTGCTGCTCAGGTAACCCACTCACCCCTGGGCTACTGCACCCCTCATTGCCTCACCAGCTAGAGGGAGAACCTCCTTCTGTTCATCTCACTTATGTCTGAAGCACGGGGCTCTGCTGACTGCCTGGCTGGGAAAGTTCACCTCCTTTTTTCCCCCAGAACATTCCCTACTCTGGTTTTTCCTCCTGTCTCCCTGGCTACACCTTCCTAGTCACCGCTGCAGGTTTCTTGTCCTCCGCCCACAGCAAAATTGTTCCCCAGGGATCACTGTCTTCTCTCCTCAGTTTCCCTCTTCCATGGACAATCTTGACTTCAACTACCACCCAATGGTCTGAAACTCCCAAATCCATGTCTCTAGCCTGCTGCTCAGGAGAGAAGGGGGCATCACGGTACCCTTGTTGACTAAGCCAGACCCC